TACATGTTAGCGTCAGACAAGATATCAAACCAGCCGCATACCATGTGATCGCGCGGGCGTCTCGTTATAATGATTGTTTCATCAAAGATGCACGCGACATCAGGAAAATTACTTCTACGTTCAACAAAGCCTTCCACCAGTTCCTGCCATTCCTCTAGTGCTGTCGGGGCTGCGAAATAGATGACGTCTGGCATCATTTCATAGAGAATGCCCTCTAGCCGTTTGATATAGACGCCGGCAACGGTCCTTGACATCCCTAACTGTGCTGCAGCTCCAACAATTCCATCCCCGTCAATACCACAGCCATTCCCGTAGTATGCCAATAGCGCTGCAAGCCCGAAATCGAAATGATACGGTGTGTTTTGCCCTGGGAGACCGTATTTGCGATAGTATAATGACTTCAGTAGTCGAACTAGCCCATCAATGGAATCTGACAGGCACCGCAACGTCTTCTTGTAGGCGGTAGGAGAACGCCGCGCTTTCAGCTTGGGAAAAAAGTCTGTTTGAATGACAACGTGCTCCTGAATAGGCCCTTGAATTGATCTTCCGTCCAATTGGCTCAGGGACACCATCAGCAGGATGTTCATCAGCATGCACAGCGCCAACATTTCTTCCTCTATCAAATCATCGTCGTAATCGTTTGCTTCTGCAGCACACCGCTTCCGTTAATGCCGCTCTTGCACCGCTAGCATGCAGGCCCATACATACCTTCATCGACGTCCATCGGCTGCGCGTCATCTGCGCCGCCTATCGCCAGCAGCGCGCCATCTCCCAAGCGTGCTAACTCCTCCATCACTCCGCACTCGATCTTCAACTTAATAAAGCGGTATCTGCTCTAAAAAATGAGGCGCCGAACCTATTCTTTTTCGCCGCTTCATAATGAGGTACTTTGGCCACCACGTTTTTCCTAACGCTACTTCACAAGAAAAAAATAGGCGGGAAAAAATAATTGGTTTTCTATTTGGACAGCGCTCTTACAAAGGTCGCTGCCTTCTCGCTTCGATTGCCGCGTTGGTCCAGGACACTCTCTCTTCCATTCGAGCGCGTTCGCTTCGGTCCCGAAGAAAGACAAACCCCTCCACCTTGATGGCCAGATCATTCATGATCTGTCCGCTCCAAGCGGCCATTCGGCCAACGGTTTTACGGACTCCACGTTATCTCCAGATGCCACCTGGGATCCCATTCTGTCGATTGCGGTCCGGATCCGAGATCGCCGGTTCCCGGGGTGTGCTATTTACGCCATGGTCGCGGATATCGCGGACGCCTTTCTTCACGTCCCAGTTCACGCTCGCCATGCGTCCGCGTTTGGGGGCAAATTACCTCTCTCCAACCATGGCATTGTTTCCGGAATGGCCGTCTGTGGCTGGACTGCGTCACCATGGTTCTTCGCCGTTTTCGGGAAGGCGGTCCGACATTATCAACGAACAGGGTCATCCATCGTGCTGGCTTATAGAACCGTTCTGGATCTTCCAGTGGGTTGACGATATTGTTCTCGTTGAGGTCGATATTGGGGACCGCCTTCAGAAGGCCGAGAAGCGTCTCAGAGATGGTGTGAAACTCGTGTTTGGATCTGATGGCAGGCATGAGGGGAAGTTCACAACGTGGTCACGTGTCTTGCATCAAGGCTAGCAACGTGAAGTTACTGGACTAGCATGGTGACCCGGTAGGCCCTTAGGCCACCAACGCTACGTCGGTGGAAATACGGTTCGAATCGCGCAAGGGAGACCGAGTCGGACAAGGCTCGACTATCAGCATTATCGATCAAAGGACCCAACGTTATGCCCAGGGCAGCAGCCCAGGGCTGTCTACGTGTCAGCGCGAAGTGGGTTAACGAAGGCGTGAAGCTGGGGCCATACATCACATCAGTCTCGCCAGGCGAGACGACCAAGAAACTACGCGTCAGCCAGCTAATCAAGGGCACAGCCCCGGGCTTGGGTCTTAATCCAAAAGACTATTCATCACACTCGCTTCGTATTGGAGGCGCCTGTGCCTTACTGGCAGCAGGCAAGAGCGACCTCGTGATTCGACTGATGGGACGATGGTCGAGTTGGTGCTTCATCGTGTACACTAGGCTCAAGCCGGGCATGATTCGAGACGTGGCAAGCAGTATGATCAAGGCTTCGACCTGGGAGTTCCATGAACCAAACTCCATACAACTTGAGGGGGATTCCAGCGAGCCTACATCATTGAGCTAATCAAGTCTACTTGCCCCATTTGCAGTGTTGGAACGAAGGGGAAAGTGGTCGGTTAAGTACGAGGGAACCGAGCTGAACCATGGGCTTCCGAACCGCGACAGAACGGAGAATCCCAGCCATTCGCCGTTCAGCCCACCAGAACTCAGAGTCCAGGACAAGAACTCACGAAGACGTAGCCAGGCTGCATGGGGAAAATAATTCTCTTCCAACGGACTTGATTAGCGAGTAGAATGTCCTCATAGGATGGGTTTTCCACCTTTGATAAGGTTTATTTCATGAGAGGGCAGACAAGTAGGGGATTCCAGCGAGCCTAACTCATTGGGCTAATCAAGTCCACTTGCCCTATTTGCAGTGTTGGAACGAAGGAGAAAAATGCTCATGACCCGTTTGTTGTGTGTTTTCCTGCTTTCAAGCTTATATGCTACATTTGAATTAATCGGTTTGGGGCGAAACTAAATACCTTTCTGAATTGCGAATAAGTTCATGCGAAAAGGTTTTCCAGGAGCGCCGGGGTAGAGTCTGATGCAAGCTGGGAAAACGATAATTTCTCGGTGAGTAAACATTGTTTGTACCTTCTAGTTATGCTCAATGTAAAAATCATGTGTTGACGGTGTGGCAGATATGAGATAGTATTTTCATAGAACGATCGCTAATATTGAGGTACCCCTCGCAACCACTTTCCATCAGCTTGGGGTTCTAAACGGCGAGCCTAAGTCACACGAGACAATATTATTTCTAGTGTTAACCTTTATCCTCCAGGTCGAATTCATACGAGTAGCAAGGATTTGATCATACGAGTATGAGATCGACAGATAGATTAGTATGTGGGGTTTGCATAACATACGGAAGGTGTAAAAAGGTCAGGTTGACGCTTTGGCGAGGTGAACGCTATGGCATCCGGCCGGCGTTTGGTCCATAGATATAGAAGAATACACGGCGCTCTGGGGCAGAGCACTTTACACAGTAGAAATGAATCCTTCGTGCTGCGTTCACCACAGAGCCGCTGTGCTGGCGAACCTCATTCTTGAGCTGGTGAGGAAAATCAATGAGAGCCTTAACGTGGTGAGAGTTGAGCTCGTCGAGGTACTACAATCAAATCCATTGTTGACACCCGCTGCGCCTAGTCCTAGATGCTGAAAGCCCGTTGTTGGTGAGCTGGTATGGCCAACTGAGAAACAAAATCACTAAAATCTAGTGATGCTCCATGGATCACATTGTGGCTGTGCGCTAGGTAATTATCCACGATCACCATATCGTGCTAAACAATCGGTGAGTCTAGTTTCTTGTGATATTTATGTCGCTGCAATGCCAGGATGCCTTGACGGTAGTGGCCGTGCACGTCAACTGTTTGGAACTTGAAAAGAACAGCTCTATCATTTCGGAACGATTGATTCTTTTTTCGTAGCGCAAAGTTTCCACTATACCATCTCGTTGAATCAGCGATGACAAGATCAAATGGCATCAGTTCCAGGCAGCGCCGTTCCTTTGTTAGATATAATCGATATTGGCTTTCGATACTGCCCAGCATAATGCATCTATTTGTTTGTTGTGTTTGGTTGTGCACGAAACCACCGTGAACGACCCACGAGGTGGAGACGAATCGAACCACTGCTTGACGTGTTTTTTTTTTTTTGGATACTGAACAGTAGTTGTTTTGACGATTCCCATAAAATAAGCCTAAATGGTCATCGAGTTCAATAAGAGTCTTTACTGAGGCAAAGGCACCATCGGCAACTATAGTGCGGCCTGTTTCTTTGTATGGTTCAGCTAGCCAAAGTACAAGGGCTGTTCCCTTCTCCGTTTTTACGAGCATACGGTTTAGCGCGCTGACGCGGTGCACCTTCAACTAGCTCGAGCCCAAATGAAACACCACTTTCACCATCTGCAATTGACGTGAGCTCAGTACCTTTGCCCTCAGGCTTACGTGCTATCTTCGTATTGTAAGGAAGGCCGTCGTGACCGTATCTATTCTCCCGCCCTTTCCGAATACTCATGCACTCGTCGACACAGAGGATGTTACCAGGGGAAACAACATGTGTTCGCCTTTCATTGAAGCCGTCAACAAAAAGACGAATAGGTTTCCAAGGATCTTTGTCAACACCAGCATCTGCGGATGCCATACAAGACATTATTTCATCAAAACAGCGACGCCTCATATCAAATCGACCGAAATTCAGTGGGGTATCAACGTAACCTTCCTTTGCATCCTATGGCCAATATAGCCCCGATCGAGATCCAAGTGCCACGGCCAGCGAATCCAGATCCAGATAAACCGATCCCTTGGTTGAATCGTTCTCTGCTACTGTCGAGCCAGATTGGCGTTGGAAAATGCAATTGTGTTGCTCAAAGTTTGCATAGGGTACACCAGATTGAAGTAATTAGCAAGCGTACATTCGACAATTACTCCTATTGAGAAGCGCATTGGGCGTGGCTACACACGTGTAGTGCAGCGGGATCAGCAATAATCTGCGAGATTGCTGGGTTCGACCACCACCAGTACGTAGACACTGACTAACGGAGGGGGTCCCCCGATGGTCTTTGATCGGCTGAACTTGTTTACCTTGTGTTCCCGTCGGTAGGGCAGAATCTGGCTACTATGGCAACAACAGAGAAGTTCAAGTGAGTCAAGCTTGAAAGTTTTGGCGAGACGGGGGGGTTGTGTGGAG